TTATATCGATATATTTATCGGTACTTTTTTATGGTTCCCCAAAAAACCCAAAAATGCACAGGGGGTTAATATTAAACAAATTTTAATAACCAATTGGGTAATGTTTTCTAAGGTCTTGGAAAATAAGCAGAGTTTGCCGATTGGAAAATTTTGGTTTTCAAGGATTCGATACCATTTCTATGCAAAATAGTTTTTCGCCACATAAATAAATGAGAAACTTTGAGTGCTTTGCGCCATATTAAAATTTTTTTGATTGAGCTAAAACTTTGTATATTTTAGTCTTAATGTACATACTACATATGCACTTGTGGCCACGCACACCTTAGCAACACTTAAAAAATAATAATTAGGGAGAATTATGTAAATTAAAAAAAATAAAATAATTAGTTTACTACTTACTGAATTTTAGGTAAACCACCAGCTATTACCAAGACGATGCTTCTCAACAATTGGAACTAACATATTTTATTTTCAAATGATTCTTAAGTATTTATTTTGTTTTTGTAATAAATAGCATATATGTATGTAGCTTTACTCTTACAATACATTAAGTGCATATATTAGTAAACAATTGAGAATTGATACTTAATTGTTACTATATACATACATATGTATGTTCATGTGTACAACAATTCCACAAGCATTTATCACAAGGTCCAGCAGGGAATCTAATCATGATAAATGTTGTCACAAACGCTACTCAAGTGACAAATTACAACGCAATTGGCATATTATGAGACACATTTGTAGTGCAATTTGTGGAAATCCGCAAGCATATGCGAGTGAGCTTTGGTCAGATGAGCCAATGGCAGGCGTTGAAGTGGTGGGAAAGTACAACCCCAAAAAAAAAAATAAAAAAGTAAAAAAAAAAAAAAATATACATAGTAAATGTATAAACCTAAACACGTATATTAATGTACATGCATACTATGTACAGGCATAAAGGCGAGAATAACTAGAGAAAAACGACAGTTTTATCATTTATTTATATAAGTGCGCTTGTGTGTGCTGTGCTATTTGATACGTTGGTGACTGGAATAAAATGCACAGCAAAAATAAAAAAACAATTAAATAACTAAAACATTACATATGTATGTGCTTATTTGCTGCATGCAGTGTAGCATAGAAATAGGCGCTAAACTTGCGCGCTACTAACACAGAAGTGTGTGTGTGTGTGCAACTGTTTGGGTAGGTATATTCAAACTGTCAACACTGTTTTTCACACTTTGATGAAAAAAAAAATAATAATAAATTTATTTATACCAAGGCACATTGTACAATTAGTATTAATAGAGCAGCTGATTTGATTTTTCTTTTGTCAAATTATTTGGTCTCGAAAATGTCAAATATTTTTAATTTCTTCTCACAAAAATTCTAAATTCCTTAAATCTGTGTATTTGCATGTGAAACCTTTTTCCATACAAAACAAGCGATTGAATAGCAGGAACGTTCCCCAACTTAGCGGCACAAACGCTGATTACTGGACCTTGCAAAGGATGGATCAATGCATTGAGAAGCAAACTAATGTCCTAAGAACAAAAGGTACAAGGTGTTTCCAATTTCAATCTTTTTTTTTTGTATTTCACTTGGCACGCTTTGATTTAGAAGAAAAAATTCAGAACAGTTTTTGACACTTTCGATACCAGAAGCCACAACAAAATACGCGCAAACATAGTTTTTTCTCCAATGCTACTACCTGTTTGATATGCCTTGATTTATAGATGAAAAAGTAAAATTGAAAATGCGAAGTTCTTATTGAAATAACAGGGGCATCGCTAAAGCTTACTTAGCTGAGTCCCTGTGTTCAATATTATTTCAGAAATTAATCTTACTTTAACCACGTTTAAATTTTTAACCTAGCGTGTCAAATAAATTGCCATGTCCCCTTAAATATATTTACGAAATAATACCCCTAATGATGTTGATTTCACTTATTAACTAAATTGATTCTGATATTCTAAGCAGATGGCAACCCAGTTCAAAACTATAATAATGGTAAAAAAGTCTTTCAACAGTGTTACTAAGCTTTATATTACAGAATCTAGTCTGTTGAAAGGAATTTGTTGCTTTTCCAATTTTCCAAAAAAATAAATATTTAACATTAGATTGCCTTCACCCGCTTCACTGAGTCTATGAAGTTCATTTCAAATGGAAAACTAAAGATATTATGACATTTTTTTAACCCTCTTCAAAGTATTTTCAAACTTCTTTCAGCCTTCTTTTGATACATTTCAATTATGTACTTTATTCCCATAATTTAAGCCCAGGTGATAACCCTCCTATATGTAGTTAAGAAATGAAGCCTTTTCAAAAACATTTCGATAGATATCCACATTGTAATCACTCATTCAAATTATTAAAAAATTAGAATTTAACTTTTGAAACAGATGGCAACCTTCTAAGCCTCTTACGTCTGACACCAATATTATGATATTAATATATATTTACCTTATTTCCTTAATTCAAGTTTAATTTGAGGTTTTAAACAGGTGGTAACGCTGCTGCATGTAGTTTATAAATAAGTCCTTTCCAATACCAATTTCAATTGAATTTAATTTTAAAACCTTCTTCAAACGTCTCAAAAAATTCAACACATTCAAATTAACGATATCTAAATACTCTTCCGTTTGACTCTTTAATTTGTGTATACCTTAATTAAATTCCACTCTACAAAGACGTGGCAACCCTTTTCGAATTATTTTTAAACTGCAACCTTTTTAAGTCGCTTTCGTCTGACACCCATAATGCGTACCAATTTCAAATAAATAATTCCCCTGATTCAAGTTAAATTAAATTTTTTAAATAGGTGGCAGCCCTCCTAATGGGTATGGAAGTTATTTTATATATGTACATATTTTCATACCAAGTTCCAGTACTCTACAACAAATACTTCCACAGCTAGGCAGTATGAAAAATTCCATTTTTGTGGAAGATTTCACGCTACCTTTTCTGATCGTGATAAAAGCTATTCTATCAAATTTTATCTCAAATTTTGAACAAACCCAAACAAACGCCGAAACATTTAAACTTAATTTTAAGTCGTAGATTACGACTTTATATTCTGTTTTTATAGATCAGATCATAAGCCCAAGTTATTGCCATTTTAAGTTTGCATTTTTCTTCATGCGAATGTAGAATCGCTAGCTGATTCCGAGAATTGAGTTAATTTTTTTAAGGCACGTTTTTGAGCTATTTGCTCATTATCTCGCTAAAGCAACTTGGTTCCACTTAATCACATACTTATGTATATCCTACATATGAACCACTTAACAACTTAATAATACGAAATATAGCAAATGAAAGTAAAAAAAATCCCCATATACAGTGAATCGTCACCTAAGGGTGAAAAGGTGTCATGACCATTTTTTTAAATTATTAAGGAGAGACGAAAAATCGAAACTAAATTTAGAAAAAAAAATGGACTCGTAACCTTTTCGATGTACATCACTTTTCGACAGGCCAAGTAGTTTCTGAGATATGTATTAGATTTTAATCACTGTGAAAAGAAAAATTAAAAATAAATCACTCGTAGTACAGGGCGGATGAGTAACATTCCTTCGTGCTCATTATAATTGGGTAGCTTTTGAACTAAAGTGCCTGCTCTTTTAATTGAACTAGTTTATTAGCTCGTTCATTAAAGTGAACTAAATTTTTTTCTGGCAACACTCTAACAAAAATGGAAATGTAATTTTACAACACAAATGGGAACTCGTTCTTGTAAGTCTTTACTCGCCTTTCGATTAGACACAGTTGCGTCATTCAGAGTCATGCCAGAGTCATATCGGTATAACTAACACATATTTATTTTCATGCACCGTGTATGTCGCCTATTAATACAAATGAAAAAAATATTAGTTTTTCCTCGCTAAAGGGCTGTCTGCAGCTCCCAAGGAAAACGAAAGATTCGTATAAAATGACACACAAGAAAAGGAAAAGAAATTTTCTGCTATCAAAATTTCTTAAAACAGTATGCAGCTCTCGAGAACAAAATGCTTGTAATTATCGCTACCTTAAGGTGAAAAGGTGGCAACTCTATTTTTTCAAATTTGGTTTTTGGTGTCGAATGGCAGGTAATACGAAACTACATCGATTTTTCGTCTCGCCTGAACCATTTCAAACAATGGGCTTGGTACCTTTTCACCCTTAGGTGATGATATATTTATTTCTTCAAGAAAATTTTCAGCAACGATAAAGCACATACTTTTTCAAGCAACAGAAATAACGAAAAATATTTCTTGAGCATTGCAAACAGCACTTAAAGTTTGATCTTATCTAATTTATTATTCAAATTTAAAATTTAAATGTCTTGGCAAAATTATCTGATCATATTATATATTTCTAAGATATATAAACAATTCAGTGCGATGTAGAATAACAATATGGGTATGAAATGAAAGAAAAAATTCTATAGAATGTAAAAAATTAATATGTTTTCTAGCACAAGAATGAATAATGCATACTTACATAGTTATGAGCAGGATTTTTTAATAATTGATACATCTATAAATTAAGAAAAGAATTGCAAATGAAATGAAAAAGCGTGCAAATAATCAATGAAAAGCTTACGACTTCGTCTGCGTTGTTTTAGACCTACAAAATGTGTTCACAGACCATAAAAAAGGTGCTCCTCCGCAAGCATGAAAAGAAATCTATGTATCAAATCGAAACGAATTGAAATCCATCGAATCGAACTGCATGAAAGGCAAGCAGGATTCACCCATTGATGAACACATTAACGGCCGCAACAACACATACAGCCTAGAAGTAATCATCACGAACACGAAAGGAAAATATGTATGTATGTATGTATGTATAGGTATAGATGTATGTATATAGCACATATGTACATATGTAACACATTACCGTATTTAAGTAAGTGTAAAGGATGAGCCAAGCAGCAATAAAAAAGCGCTCAACGCAAAACTTCTATAAAATTTCAAATGTGCTCAACCAGGCGAATGTAATGTGTATGGGAAAAACGGCAGCACACTTGCCAAGCAATGCCAAGCCAAGCCAATTGGATGGATGCACGCATTGGTATAAGTTCCCACACTGGGCACACACTTACAAGAACACACAAATATTCAATCTAAATGAGAATTAAAACAAAAAGGTAAGACGCCAGGATGCGCATGCTTCGCTTTGTGGCTTGTGAAGAGAGAGAGAGAGAGAGAGAGAGCGTTGTAAAGAATTGAGCGCCAAGTCAATTGAAAAGCACCGCCAGGCTTGAGCCCACACATGCACGCACACCACTAAGCCAATCGGTCACAAAAACACAGCAACTTGACGACAAAAACAACAACTTCAAAGGAAATGCGTTGAGCTGAGCACAGCTTGGAAATTCACATAACCAGCCGAATGGACGACTGGATGTGCAGTGGGTGGTGGATGGTAGGCTGCTGCTTGGAGCATTCGCACAGCCACTCTGACACTGGAATTCCAGGTTACATAGCGCTACAAGCGCCAAGGTATACATAGGCATGTTCGGTATGCGCTAGGCGAGCGCTGCCAGACAGAAGTTACCTTTGCTCTGGCCTGGACGATGCACGGTGGTCGTCGTTTGGTGTAACATTTTTCCCCCAACTTTTCAAGTGTGTGTGTGCAGGATTTTTGCAATTTAAAAGAGAAAAAATTCAATAAAAATAATAAATGTTCGATGCAAAATTCTCAAATGCATTTAACAAACAAAGTAATGAAATTTTGATTTGGTAAAAAAAAAAATCGTGATTTCTACAAATTTCGTATACATGTAAACTGCAGTGAGTTTATTAGAAAATTTCTTCAAAAGGAAAAAGAAGGAAACGTGAAATGGTGTAGTATTAGCTTGAAAACCAACCAAAAATATCCAAAAAATTATCGCAACGGTGTGATTAAATTTGCGAAGCTGCGTTTTGGCGTCCGCTTTTGTGTAAAAAAATATTCAGTTTTCATGAATTGAAAAAAAAAATTAAGCAAAGACTGAACTAAAAAGCTCTTTGCAAAAGCACACTTTTCAATATTTAATTTAAAGAATTATTTAAGGCGTCAGCGTTTCACAAATATCCAACTCGTCGTTACTAACTCGCAAGACAGTGGCGTCGAACGAGGGTGCCCACAATAGCGCTGCTGGCAGTGCAGCTGATGGTGGTGCTGGCACAAGTGGCGAAACGGCCGCATTGTTCTCCAAACTACGAAGTTTCTCCATCGGCAGTGGCCCAAATTCGCCACAGCGCGTAGTTTCAAATCTACGCGGTTATCTAACGCATCGATTCAGTAATATCACACCGAGCGATACAGGTGAGTCCTACATACATACATATGTATATGTATGTGTGTGCGTAGGTGCACGGTGGGTGCATGTACATATATACATATGTAGTATGTAGAAAGTGCATATAGCGAAGCACATACCATACTACATACATATATTTACATATATCTAAAAAAAAGTTTACGAAAATGCATACCAGTGCTACATAAATAGTTGCAGCTAAGGACGTGTGTAACGATTTTCACAAATGCAATTAATCCCACAGTGATCGTTACCAATTGTCTTGATTGCAGCGCTAATTGAAATTTATATATACATACTTGTAATACCTATACTATACATATATGTATATGTATGAATGTATGTACATGTAGGTACGTGTGCACGCGCATCGGTAGAAAAAAGTTACAAATGTGCTGTGTGTATGTGTTAGTCGCCGAGCAGGTGATGGTTACATAAAATGTATCTACCTGTGAAAGAGAATGCGAGTACATAAAAAATTTATTAACATCGTATTTGTGCTTCTGCAAGAAAACCCTATACTTATTATGTAATCGCGGTAAAATGGTAGCAATGTATGTATATGAGGATACATACCTACATACGTACTTTATATGGGACCAAAAAAGAAAAAAGTTTTGTTAAAATGGAACATTAAAAAAAAATAGTTCTTAATTAATTTCAAATAATTTTAACCTTCGCACAATAAATCAAAACTATCCCCTTTACGTACGAAATTCAAATTTCGAAAACGCCATAATGGCCCAACAAAATTCTAACAACTGCATGCGGCACAACCAGCGACCACTGGTTCTAATAAGAACTTCTGACATTAGAATTATTCACTTTGCAGTGGGTTTTGCTATATATGGAATTTAAGGTGTCCAACAACGGATTTTTGGTATTTTTTTTTAATTACCCTAGAAAGATATAAGGCACCCAATATATGATGATTTTTGTTTTTTTAATTTTTCTTTTGTTTATTTAATGTTTAATATATAAACATATAATACATATTTTTATAAAAGTCTAGCTCACTATCTAGCAAAAACATATAAAACCAAATTCCAAACCTTGTGCAAATATTTATGTAAAAATTCTGCAATCTTTCACGAAAATTTATACTTTTCATTTAGAATCTTTGGTATGCACTTTTGTAGCCCAATAAATTTTAGTATGATAAAGTGCAAGCTTCAAGCTGCTAAAAAATTCTGTTAAGTTTTGAAGATTTTTTTGCTGACGGTATTGTGCCCTTTCCTCCATATAAAAAAAAAAATAAACATGCTTTTTATGGAAGAAAATATTAAACATTAAATAAGCAAAAGAAAAATTAAAAAATCGTCATACGTTAGGAGCCTGATTAAGAGGTCTTCTGGCCAAGGTTGTATGTAGGAATTGAATCAACTGAAAGGAAACTGAAGGAAGGAAGGAACTGAAAGAAATTATATTTCTTAAACAAAAAGAACAATTTTATTATTATCAATTGCATTTTAATTTTGCACTAGCTCTCTTGTAGAAACTCAAATTCTAAGTACAGTAGCATTAAATTTTCTGAGAAAAAACACCAATAATTGCCTGTACCTTTATTATGATAAAAACATTAATAATGAGTTCAACATAAGCGTCAAAAGTATGAAGTATTGAAATATTGACTCAAATTTTATTTTTTAGCCGTTTACATTTGTTTGCCGAATATAGTTTTGCGGGATCCGAATTAGCAAGATCGCGGTCGGCCCGGATTACTAGGCGAATAATAGAAATTATTTATGTATCAATTCCGTCCGGATTACTCATTCGAATTAGATTCAATTCCACCTTTTAACATATCTGGGCTCGACTTTCATATTTTTCAATTAATTAATCCCAACTGTTTTACCCTCTTTCGCGCCTAATTGACAGGAGGGACGCAGTCCGCATGCCGTACGGAACCAGTTTTTACACCTTTCATGAGCATGAAATGATATTATATCTTTGGGCTGATGTTTGTAAGTTTCGGTAAAAGAAGAAATAGACCCGTGAAAATGTACATTTATTTGATCAGAACATCGAGCTGATGCGATTTAGCCATGTCCGTCTGTCCCCCTGTTTGTATGCAATGTAGTCTCTCAGTTTTGGAGATATCGACTGAAATTTGGTATGTAAGTGTATTTTTAGAATGTATTCATCATTTGTCGGAACAACTGAATGCACAAATATGTGATTTTTCTTTATAATTCCTCCATTTATGCAGCTAGGAACATGAAATTTCGCACTATTTTCACTCATTATAAACAAAATACTTACAGTGCAAATGGCAAAGATCGTGTCGCTATAACTTATTTTCTCCATACAACTGCTTGCTCAGCTATGGGGTTTACTGTTGGACAGCTAAAACCGATAACTTTCGTATGCTATTTTATAAATAAACGTACAAAGTCTACTGAGAAAATCGTCAAAATCGGTGTTGTATAAGTTTTATCTCCTATACCACTTATTGTTCAGATACAAGATTTTGCGATATATGTAACTCCAGTATGTAGGAAGATAAAGCCTTTAAATTGTGCTACCGGTTTACATACGGATCACACATCAGTGAAAATCATTTACATTGGTGCTATATAAGATATCCGTATGTTCCATATCTCTGGTTGTTTAGATATGATTTTTTATATATGTAACTCCTCTATCTACATATGTATGCTGTGAATATGAAAACTAATTTGAAAGGCAGTAATTTGTTAAAGTAAAATTTTCTGATGTTCATGAAAGGTATGAAGCCTTCGGCATAGCCGAAAACAGCGCTGCTCTTATTTGTTTTCTTTTAGCTTAGCAGCTGACTGGATATGAGCAAATCTCACGAGTTCATTTTTTTTAAGGTCACTCCCTTCTATCGGCAGAAAAAAAACGCTAAAGCATTATTCTTGCATTTATTTAAATCAATGCAGTTCCAGAAAAAATTACAATAAAAAAAGTCAAGTATTTAAACAACTTTAGCCTTAAAACGTTTATTTAGGTGAAAAACTTTAAGGAGTTTTCAAATAGAATATTCATATTAGTTAGACACAATAAACTTTGGCATCAAATACAAAATATCTGTGAAATCCCAAGAATGTACCACGCAACTTTAAAAAATGGCAGCATGCAGAATAGCTGTCACAGCCATTTTGTAACTTTTGAAATTTAACATTTTTTTTTTTTAAATTTTAATAAGTAAAAATACTTCAAAATGTTATAATTGAAGGGTGAAAATATACTTCTTGCCAAAACGTACGAATCTAGTGTAATAAGACTAGTGTGTCATCAAATGAAAAAAAAATTACATTGGCTAAAAATGACTATGATTTGAAAAACTAAAATTCTATTTTTACAGTTTTTATTAGAAGAAAGTAATACATGCCAATATTTAATTACTTTTAAATAATATGACTTTTAAAGTAAGGCGTGCGAGTTAACGTGTTAGATAACTGCGCATGGTGCTACGGGGCGTATACGTTACATACGCAACTACGAGCAAGTGTCTCGACACCCGTGCGGGAATATAAAAGTTTATTTTTTTTTTGTAATTTAGATGTTGCCCGGACCTGGGATCGAACCCGGGTCCTAGGGAGTGATGGTATGCACATCTAATCACTTAATGCGACTGTGATATAAGTTAACTACATAATTAGATATGTACAAGCATTTTGTTTTATAAGGTATAGAGCACAGCATGCACATAAAGACAAGTTGACAAAATCTAACTGCTGAAGTAGTTCTTCTAAACTGAGATGAGATATTATGATATATTTCGGTATTAACCGGAAAATTTCATGGAACAAAAATCTATCAGCTTTGAGCTGAATTCCCATATTCTTCCAAAAAGTTTTTTGCAGGCACATATATCCCTTGTGACTTTAGCAACCGGTCTCTCAAGATGGGGGTGCCAATTAACTCTCTCATCGTCGAAGTATTCAAGTCCAATCCCTCCACGAGAGATCGAACCAAGGTTTGGCTTATACTTTGTTTTAAACGATAAAAGAACAGCCTTCCGAGGATTTATGCCCTCATTGGCACACCAGTTTGAAAAGACGCGAAAAACTGTACCTGTGATGGCCGAGACGGTACTGCGGAGTTTTCCTGTAATTATGTATAATTTCCAGGTCATCTGCGTACCTCACAACATCGTAAACACACTCACGAAGCCTGATTAAGAGGTCTTCTAACACAAGTGAACAAAACAAGGGAAAAACGACCCCCCCCCCTCTCACGGCTCTGATCCTCACTTGAGTATTGCCCAAGGACGATGTAATTTTACGCTCACGGAGCATATCGTCGATCCAACCAACAGTAGTAGGGTCTAAGCCCCTTTAGACCTATTTCTTTGAGATAGATCCATAGACAGTATTGTCGAAAGTTGAAATAGGTGGGGGTCCAAGAAGCTACACAAAGCGATCTCCTTGGCCTCGAAGGCACTTTCGATCCTACTAACTAGATCCGTTGATTTCTCTTTGACATAAGCAAATAGTGTGTGATGTAAGGAGTGGAAGTTTTAAGTTTCTCCCTAATATGGCGGGTCTTGCAGTCTTCAGTTTGAAGGAAGTTAGGATAATGGGTCTGTATGATTTTGCTAAGTCGGGGGGGCGTTGCTTGATTAAGGATAACTTAAATAATACGTACACTTTTCTCCCAAATGTACACATCAGGAGAACGATGGTGTCCTCGATTCTGCTTTGCAGTAGTGCTGGGAAGATCCCAACACCACCAGACCCACTGCTTGGAAGAGTTCGAAAGACTATGCCGTCCAGCATACCTTGTCCCTATCAAAATGGAGCCATATCTGCCTTGAATTTTCACTCTAGGGAACCTGTGTTCCGAGGAGACAGGGGACATCAGATCATGTTCCACTGTTATCGTTCGTAAAGATGCCATCTTGCCTACTTCGCAGACCTATCCCATTGGAAGACTCCTTTGATAAAATTTTATGTAGACGGGAGGCCTCAGGAAACATCTCTATTGCCTCACATTGCCGACCCCATCAACCCCTCTTCGAGCGTTTATGTCAAGGAGA